GCACCGGTCTACCGCAAATATTTTTCGAGGTTTGTCTCTGCAAGAAGCGCGAATGTTAACCGTTGGCAACCCACAGCTTGACCCGCCCTGTCTTGATGCTGCTGTGTGGCTTGTTTGCGCCCCCGACAGACGGCCCGCCGGTACGGTCGCGACAGACCAACGACGTCGGCAAACCAGCGAGCGAACGCAGGGTGGAAGGAACGAGACAAGAGCCCCGGAGAAATATTCGCGGCCGGCGGCTGCAGTGCAGACACAGCGCCTGGCTATATCCCAAAAGGCCGCTGAAATCGGGTGCCGCACATTGGGGGGGGGAGGGGGGGCGAAAACCGAGATGAAAAATAGAACACCCAGTAACAGCCCCTTCGGGCTCGGTCGGTCGTATTCCGCCCTGTACATCTAACATCGAGGAGGGATTATCATCAGCATCAGAGTGCTTAGCCAGGTGTTGGAATCGTGCGCGTCGATACGTGTTGCTGACCATTATTACGGAGGGCCTGCGTGTGGCCTTTGTCTTTTTTGCTTCTTGGGGGGGGGGGGGGGGGGGGGGGGGGGGGAAAAAGGGTTGGCCCCTCCCCAACCCACCCCCCAAAAAAAGGGAACCCCAAAACCCGGGTTTTTTTTTTTTTTTTTTGCCTTCGGGGGGCAGGGAAATTTGGGGGGGGGGGGGGGGGGAAAAAACTTTTTCCCGGGGGGAGTTCCCCCCAGCGTGGGCCCCCCCCCGGCGGAAAACCGGGCAAACAAAGGGGGGGGGGGGGGGGGCCGGGGCAAAAAAAACCAAAAAAAACCCCCCAGGGGGGGGGGGGGGGTTTTTGGGAGCGGAGGAGGAACCCCAAAATTTCCCCCCCACCTTGGCCCAACCCGGGGCCCTTTGGGGGCCGCCCCATTCCACCACAAAGGACCCCCCCCCACCCCCCCCCCCAGGAAAAAAAAAAAAAAAAAAGGGGGGAAAACCCGGGCCGGGAGGGGGGGGGGGGGAACCCGGGCCTACCGGACCCGAACGGAACGTACCGGAAACCCTGTTGGAGGGGAAGGGTTGGGTTGGCCCCCCCCTGCCCCACCCTGGGTTGGGGGGTGGCCCCCTTAAACCCTCCCCTTTTGACCCCCCCCAAACGGG